GACCTCTCCTTGCGCCTATATATCTTAACGACCTAGCCGACAAGACTGATAATGACATATTGTTCTTTGCCGACGATACTACGCTATACACAGCTCACTCACACGACCCAGTTACCGTACAAGCGGCACTCCAACACGACTTACATATCATTCAAGAGTTCGGCAAAGACTGGTTCATCACGTTCAACGCCACGAAAACAATTCAGCTAACATTCACCAACAGAAACACACATAACCCACCGCAGCGGGCCTTTGATGGCCAACGAATTCCTTCCGTTACAAGCCACAAACACCTTGGCCTGACGATATCTACTGATTTGCATTTTCATCAGCACGTTAATGACACCATCTCCAAAACAGTACAGCCCTTGGACCTCTCTACCCACTATTGCGACTTCTGCCTCGGCATATCCTCAACGACATATATACGACTTACATTCTTCCTTTGTTTGATTATTGTGACGCAATATACGACGGATTGACAACCAGCGACTCCCTTAGACTTGACAGGTTGCAGTACAGAGTAGCAAGACTAATCACCGGTGCACTCTACAGAACACACACTTACGCAGTGTTGGACGATTTGGGATGGAACACTCTCAAATCGCGAATAAACATGCACAAACTGACACTGTTCCACAACCTCACACACAACCAACATCTACTGCCAACAAACGTCACTGCATTTCTACCTGACACACGAGCACTTGCAACAGGACGCCCACAACGCAATGCAATAACACTCACATTACCACCGAACAGAACCTCAACATACCAATAATCCTATATTCCGTCAACTACGAGAAGATGGAACCAGCTCCCGCTCGAGGTGTCATCTCTCCAGTCTTCTCGTTCCTTCAAACGGGAAATATACCAGCGCTGCGGTGTGGCCGCGCCTCCGGTGTATCATAGCTTTGGACCCAGGTATGGTAACATCCTAAATACTAGGCTGAGATTGCGAATGTCAGACCTGAATGCCCACCTGTTCGAAATTCAAAATTCAGCTACACCTAGTCCCTCTTGCTTACGTGGCAATCCATATGAAGACCCTAAACACTTTGTACTGAACTGTCCTCGCTATCATGAAATCCGAATTTCAGTGCTACGTAAAACAGATCGTATCATTCAAAAGTTTCCTGAGCCCACTCACAACGAACAACTAAGTATCTATCTCGCAGGTAACGGCTTACAGAATCGCAATGAGCAGCACGTAGCAAAAATTTGCCAAACATTTGTTTTCCAGACCAAACGATTCGCCTAAAAACTTCCAGCGGGCGCGGGCAGCAGACGGCTACCGGGTGGCGTTGCCGGGCCGGACGCCCGCCGCCGGCCCGAGACGGCTGTATGTCTAGACCGGAGTGACTGCGGGCGCCTGGCCCGTGTCGGCTTACGGATCGGGCGAGTGGGCGGTGTGTCGTGGGTTCTCTGGCGGCGATGACCGTATCTTGTTATTCTTAGGAGAAGCGCTCAGATTTAAGCGTTCCGCTTATGCGCCAATCCACTGATCGTATTATGTACTGCTTGATATCCATGATCGAAAATAAGCATCAAATCAAATCAAAACCTGAGTTTATATGGTCTGTATATCGGTCAATCACCACCAGTACCGCATGGTCCGCTCCGTGTCGGCATGGGCCTGAGGGTCCGGTTTCCAATCAGCTATAAAGCCATAGCAGGTGTAACAAAGTTATATATCGCGACAGTAAAGGTCTCAAGATTTCTGAAAAACTCCAGATGTTTTAACACCTAAAGTTTCTAGCGTCTTCAAAAGCCTCTTAGACGAAAAAGGCACTAGGAGACATTTAACTCTGCTGGGAAAGAGATCACTCACCACATGCTATTTGTTCCGTCGGAAAGTAGACTATGGATATATTCTATATTGTTACTCAATACTTCCTTCAAAAAGTCGCTCTCAGCGCCTCACCAGCCATTTGTTGTATCAGATAGTTCTGGGATCACAAGGCGATTCCACACTCTGTGATTGGTTTAATCGACCATCATGCAATGTCTCACTCGCTTCTCATTGTTTGATTATCACATCATTTCCTGAACCTGTGACCATGACTCGTTTCCGATGTACGCGGCATATAAGGCGCACCATTGGTAACCATGTATGCTCATACTCGAAGAATGGACCCGAAAACGCAACATTGCTCTTGGTTGTGCACGTGGACATTGAGGTGTGGTGTGAGTGTTTGTGAGTGCCAATTAATGAATACGAGCTGTAGACCGCCGAATTTTACATTTGGCCGACTTGCGACAAAGACTGGCGCGAGCCAGGTCTACAATAGTCTGACTACCACGAAAGCAGTGAGAAATCCCCTACAGCAGACGATGTATACTGTTTGGGCCCCTGTACCTGTCCTGAGCCCAAAGTGCCTAAAAGAGGGTCCTGTGTACCCGTGGGGCCCGGACCGACCAGGAGCAGTGCTCAGTGCGGCCCGAAGGGGGCCCAGGCGACCCACTGGAGCTGACGATCAAGGGTTCGGTTGGATGACACTGGGGCCATTATGACTGGCTGCAGATCACCTAAAGAATCGCAGCCCGTATGGTTGTGGCCTGAAATATCAGTTAGAGGTCCTCTTACCCCGTTCGGCGACCCCCTGAGAAAATGCGGTTGTCTCAGTCGGCCAAAGACCACAAACACCGAACAGTTGGTTCCCGGTCAATCTGAACTTTGGGGCCCATTTTCCAGGCAGGAGCAAGGCCGGAGGCCACGGGTTGCATAGGTCTGGGTCCCTAAAATAGTAACTGGGGCCCCTGTGTCGGTCAGGGACCGACACACGAACGCAACAAGGGGCCATGTGTCGGATAGTGGCCCTGAACCGGTTACGGGCTTTCTCTGAGGAAGTCCGAAGAGGGACGGAGTGGCCCAAGGGACAAAAGATCAAGGGCCCGGTTGGATGGCCTGTTGTTCTCCTGATTGGAGGTCACTCACGGGTTTGAAAGACAGGCCGTAGGTCAAATTAACACGCGCTTGGGCAGGGGTCAAATTGACCCTCCTTCCCGAAGGTCTTTACAAAATGGTTCCCGAACGGCGCGGCGTAGCCACGCCAAATTTTGTATAGTTATACATAATTGATGACAGATCGTTTGGCATAAAGCATTCAGATGTATCGTGAGGTTTCTGACCTAGGAAGGTCAAAGTTAGACCTTTTTGCTTCGAACAGGTATCTAGGTCCTGAGGACACTTTGGAGACCAACATGGAGTCTGACCTTGTTTGACTTTATCCGACCCGAAGACCATGACCTAACAACTTAAAACTTTGACCTAAATGAGTTCACATACAGATTAACACACCCAATAAATTTGGTATCTCTAGCTCCTTTAGTTCCTGAGATCAAAGCGGTTCAAATTGACTCCCCACCCGAGCGAAGGGCATCCAACTGGCCGCCCGGGCGCGTGTCAACACGCCCTAGGGGAGGGGTTAAAATTGACCCCCGAATATTTTTTAGAATGTTTTACGGATCGCGAAATGTACCTGTGCCAAACTTTGGATAACTGTAGACGATTAAATAGCGGGTTGTCTGGCATCAGAAATTTAGACATACCTTGTACGACCGCTGGCCTATGACAGATCACAGTTAGGCCATGGTTTTAGCGAAGGTAATTTCTAGGGATTGTTCAATCTGATACAACAGGAGTGTTAGATGAAGCCATACATCTCTGAGATAATATCTCAGGCAACATAACCATTGAATGAACAAAGTGCATTGGACTGAGGGCAGGTATGGAAGTCAGACCAAAGTCAAAACCACCTGTTTTATTACTCTAGCGCTTGCTGTATGGCTAGTTCCTGTTGCTTATTTCTAAATTGATAACACGAACTTCATTATGCACCTTCCAAGGATTTGTTTAACCATCAGAATAGGTCACTGATCTAGAATGACCCAGGTCAACATTTTTTTTTGGGGAACATACTGCCTAGCGCAACATTTGCCGCTTATCCAAATGCAACACACAAACGGTCTTATATGATTTTAGTCAACATGACCTTCAAAAGGTCAAACAAGGCCACTGATCTTTAATGAGCATGTGAATTTTTCTGTAAAACAATCTGTAATGCCACAAAGTGGATTTGTTATAAATACCAGCGGAGGGTGCATTTGAATCAGTTTCAGACCAAGAGCACTGGCAATTTTAGGGAGAAGTTGGCGCACTTTCACCGCGATACACGGCGCGACGCCAGCATAGCAGAAGGGATCCTGTTGTCACCATGCTCACTGAGGCATGTCTGTGTCTTTGCAGTCAAACATGATGGAGCGGTACCATGTCGGCGGGCGAAAGACCTGAAGCTATGCCGCGACTGATCCTCGGATCTCCTTCGGCAACTACAGCTGGAATTACAAGACAACAACCACCACGTTCGCAGAAGCAGCTTTAACCCCTCTGCCCTGATTCGCCCCCTTTTCATGGCGCGAAATGATAACAAGTTTGATACGACCCACCCCTCCGATTTCCAAGATAAAAAAGGTAGAGCATCGCGGAGAAAGCAGTTGATTGGCCTCACACGAGTTTCCCGCGCCTAGTTTGGATTGGTGTGTAACAACGTGCTAGGTCAATAAATTGACCCATTCAGCCCAGGTTCAGAGACCAGTGATAACATCAAGCCACACCGGAAACATGAAAACGACCCGGCACGGTGTTTCTTGTTTAATTTTGAACACACTGAGGCCTTTTATTAGTATTTTCAGCATATGTTTCATGATGCAGGGGCTCTCTGTTATTGCGACAGTGTCGGCCCGACATGTGCAAACCGGACGGCTTCGTCGGTCGCCGCCCCCTGCCCGGCCCGGCGGATCGCGGAGTTCTTAGGTGTTCCTAAAAAAGCCGTTCCTGGTTTGGAAACAAGGGGAAACCAGGGAAAGCTAAAGCATGCTGATTACGGTCAAAACTCACGCGCAAACTAACGTCCATTTACGCTCGCGAAAATATGGGCGGTGATTTACACTGCAACGCCAGGGGGGCGCTATCCCCCAACCAAAACCTTATGGGACTCGCATTGCCCCCCCCCCCCCCCCCCGCTGCTATCGGAAGGCAGGGTTAATATGGTTAATGGGCTTCCTGAATTTGTGAAAACTTCGAGCACAAAAATGCACAGTGCGCTGGTAAATGGACGCACCAAGAACTGTGGTCACTAAGCAAAGGGTGCCAACATCTGCACATTGAAATTTGAAGCCATGCTCCGGAATAATGCATTCGGTACGAGAGCTTGTCTGATAGAACCCTGAAAGTAAGTTTTTGGATGGCCACAAATTCAGTTTTTGACACCGCTCTGTGGTGCTCAATATTTGATCGGACATATTACAAGACCATATGTCTGTGATGGAATACAAACTTTGTTCTATTCATCATGTTTTGTTTGTTTGAACAATTCATTGTCGAGCGGTGCCAATGCTTTGTTTTATTTCACGTCATCACTGTCGTTGTCGTCATCATTGTCGACGACGTGCTCGTCCTCGGGCTCGTCTTCGTTATTGCCAACGCCATCGCCATCGCCATCGCCACCTCCATCGCCATTGCCATCGTTATCGCCATCGCTATCGCCATCGCCATCGGTATCGGCATCGGCATCGGCACCGGCATCATCATGGTCATGGTCATGGTCATCGTCATCGTCATCGCCATCGCCATCGTCATCGTTGTCCTCATAGTCATCGTCCCAGTCGTCGCCATTACAACCACGACCACCACAATCGTCAATTCCATCCCGTTCATATACTACAATGCACATGGGCCGTCCACCAAGGCATCCACCACATTGCCAAACACAGTAGGGCCTCACCACCACAGCAACCATCAGTATGACGACGACCAACCACTACCCCCACCATAATCATCTTCATCAGCATCATCATCACCTTCGGTATTAATTCTGAGACCCACCTCGCATGCGCCAGCCGAGTTTGCTGATGGTTGTAAAAGCGCGAATGCTTGAAACAGGACGTCCGAGCTATCCTTAAATAAAGGAAATGATCCATACTTGAAGAAATTGGGGCAAGCATCAGGTATGATGAAATAAGCTCACTCATAACTATTGGTGTACTTTAAATGGAAAGCTGCTTTAGAAAACACGATTTTCCTGTTGGGTAAATAACGCTCCTCAACGTGTCATTGCTTGATGACGTCATCACACCTCGCACAACATTAGTTGAGACCCAAATGGCAGCTATTACATCTCGCAATCGTACTTTAGATCTTCAGATATGAAGGATTCGATTAATTTTACTTTTTTGGTCTTGATCACGGCATGGCCGAAGGAATGATGGGATTTTACTGGCATTATCATGTCGTCATGGACCTTGAATAGTCTTCCCACCTATTCTGCATTCTTCAAGGCGTGTAGCTCTGCAACCAAGATGGCTTTGGTCTTGAGAAGAGTGGGGTTGTGAACTGCATCAAAATGGCTATTTTCACTCAAAACTTCATAAAATGTACATTTCCTTTGAGAAGAACAGGCTGAGCGTCAAATAGTATGCTTAAGAATACGGCACAGTAACCGACTGAGCTAGTAGACCAATCTTTGTATTTCCAAAAACAGACAGGGGAAAGAGATTTTATCTTTGAGGTCTTCCCGCGTGTTATACATCTGACGTACACGATTATTCACGTCCAATATCACGCCATTCACTATCACATTTTTCAACAGCAGAACTGCTGATCCCTGGTAACACTCTGATCCCTGATTTAACTGCCACTCTCTTCACGTCCTTGCGTTTGTCACAGGTTTAAACGTTAGCCACGGCACTCGGGGTTCCTTCACCTTCGACAGCACTAAGAGATTGGGACGACCCTCTCGGCGATTTTACACTCGACGTGCCGGCTTTGTCGCAGTGAAGGTATGCTTCGTAGAAACGGTTTGCGTTTAACGACTTCGTGGCTGGACTTGCCTAACCGGTCCTTGCATCAGTTTATGTACGTGAACATTTGCGCATTACTAATTTTGTTCCGTGGAGGACCTGGGGAGCGTCCATAATTTACGGCACTTTTTTGTAATTTACAACAATTTCCCTCCTTTTAGTTACGCACCGGCTGCGCCGGGTTAAAAAACTCTCACATTGGTTAACCTGTGTTAAGCGTAATATCCCAAACAGGTAGCATCCGTTTGGCCCCGAATAGAGTGGGAGATACGACAAAAAAAAAAAAAACAGGCATGCTGCTTGGCATGAAAGGAAGTTAGCGGCATCTGGTTTTCAGGGTTAAAACATGAAACAACTTAACCATTATTGGATGTACATATGGCGGTATCATCACGATGTCAAACCCTGTACTCTCTTTTGTTAAATTTTTGTTACGCTTCATCCCTCTATGCGTTGCGTGATCCCACCCCAAGAAACTATTGCTTTATAACTTCTACTGCGTACAAGATTACGCAACAGAAACAATGTTGCGTGGAACTCGTGCCGTGAGAGCTCTGTATTTCTGTCATCAGTCCTATTTGTGTAAGATACATTGTCCGTGTATCCCGTCACAAGCGAGAAGCCTGTTGCTAGCCTCATGAGGATAATGAAAGCTTCAGAACCAAGGTGAAGTACGTTTCTGACGGCTACATACGAAGCTGACGTCAAACACAGCCAAATGCTGAGGATCACGCAGGCTAACAATCCGACACTAACGTATTAGAGATGATCTGTTGACGTCTGCAGCCAACCAAACCAGATCCAACTGATCCTGCCGTTATTGATTTCTGACCCCTGCAGGCTAAAGGCGCCGCATCCAGTTCTAGACACATTACTAACTGCAAAATATCACATATCTCACGAGCGAAGAAATGAGCACATGCGTTTTCATAAATACGCGCCAGATTGTCCTCTAATAGTTTTATGTGACACCCAACCACCTATGACCGCGTTAGTGATTGTAAAAGGTGGCCGATACACGGTGTCCTCCATCGTTTTGTGACGCCTTTGCGGGCTGTCCATCACGGCTATGACTCACCATTCAGTTTCCAACGACCCATCACTGAGGAACCCGACATTTGCTGCTAAACATTGAACAGGAGAGAATTGTCACTATGCTCTCTAAATCTGTCGTCCTTTGTCTGGTTTTGGGCGCGCTGAGCAGCTCTGGGAAATCTACAGGTAAGCGGCTCTGTCTACATTTAAATTTAGGAGGTCGCTGCTCGCGCCCCAGGTGGAAGGCTTGCGTACTTTATCACCATTCGAGCATTTCACGGGTTTTCCACAACAAATCATATTCAATTCTGCTAAATGTTGCAGCATAGCTTCCTGATGCACATGGCTAATGCCTTCTGAACTGTTCTATTTCATCATAGAATATGCTTGGTGCGGTGATCTCTTCAGCATGCACCCGTGAGAGAACAGGATATGATGATAGGCCGGTACTTCCACAGTGTCTTAGTCCATAGTAGTCAACACACTATTCGCTGAAGACTTTTGCGCAACGTTTGAAATCTGTTTGCGACTTTCATCTTTTGTGATTGCTTTTACAAAACGATTTTCTAAGCTAATAGCTCTCATCTCGTTTGAGAAACATAAGATCACCTCATTCACCTTCAATGCTTTCAGCAAAGTGAAAGAATTCGGGCCTGGAAGCACAAAAAAGACCAGCGTGTGGCGTAACACACGATGGGCCGAGATATTCACTGAAGTCAGTTCTAGGTATCTTATGTCATTGCTAAACCAGGCTGTAAAGCCAGGGTTAGACACTGCTCTCGTATTACCTCAAAATGCGTCATCTCAGGCTAGTTGCATGGGATGAACGCCCTTGTGACAGACGTGAAGCGAAGAAAAATATTAAACCTCACTTGCTTGCATTTGGATAATAGGCTTTATATCCTGAATGCCTTGCTATAACCCAATAAAACACATCTGTCACTTGCGGCAAATGTGTCTTCCCGGATGCATGAGCTTTGACCGACTTGTGGCGATCAAATGCATAAACTGCTGCATCATTTTTCAGGGTTGTGGCTCACATGGTACAAAATGGATGCTCACTGCCCGGGTCATGCACCCTACTGAGGAGGAAAAACTTTCCTTTTCTTATTTCAGCCACGCAAGCCTGTGAGCTGCGAGGACAAATACAAATGCAAAACTCTACCCAGAAAGAAAAAATTATGCTTATAAAATGAAACGCATCGGGTGTGGTTAGCGCCAAACGCTTCTTTCCACATCTTTTTACTTCGATCGATCGAGTTACGACGGTATAGTGCATGCAAGTACACTGTGGAATCATTGCTTTCAGGCTGGCCCAAGTTGTGCAAAACGGATGCTGACTGCTCGCATTACTTTCCCTACTGCGGAGAGGGCAAATGTCCGCCGTAAGTAACCTACGTATATTGAACTTCTCGTTTTTGGCCCTTCGTTCTACGAGACGTGCATAGTTTTGGCAAAAACATTGCATGCACGGCATTCACCAGATGCTTCTCCTCTAACGGTTAACAATGCAGTGGGCCGAAGGAAAAACACACACAACACCGTGTGTTCGTCTGATGGCATCATGGACTGACCACATGTGACCACGTCATGATATTATCACTCTGTGGATTAACATGTTTGGTGCTGTTTTCAGCGGTTACAACATTCTGCATTTCTGGCGAACGCGGCGTTGCCGGATGTAACAGATGTAACTGTGTACGTCACGGCTGGGCTTGTACCTACATTAACTGCCCGTCATGTAAGTGAATGCATGACATTGTTATGGCCTAAGTTACATGCAGCTAGATAGCGTTTACAAGTGAATGGGCCAAAGTGAGAGTTTTGTGTCGTGCTATGTTATGGCACTCTTTTAAAGTTTGATTACATACACTTTTACCGGTACATTTTGGGTGTTGTACCGCTCGCATAAATAGCGTAAGACCCCGATACTTATGCAGTTTAACACGCGCTCGGGTGGAGGGGTCCAAGGTTTTTTTCGGAAGTTTTTTTCCAGAATCGTTTACGAACGCCGTGGCGTAGCCGCGCCGAATTTTGCACAGATGTAGATAACTGAATCACGGCTCGTTTGGTTTCACAAATTTAGTTGCATCTTGCAAGGTCACCGACCTATGGTAGGTCAAATCAGACCAGGGTTTCAGCGAAGTCAATTTCTAGGAAATCGCTCAATGTGATGAAACAGCGGAGTGTTAGACGAAGCCGTACACCTCTGATATGCTGCCTTAAGCAAAAAATATTGAGTGAGCAAATCGCCTTGGCCTAACTTCAAGTATGAAGGTCAGACCAAGGTCAAAACCAACCAGTTCTCTACTCTAAGGCCTGCTGTATTAGATAGCTTCTGGTGCATGCTTCGAATTTACTGATAGCAGGAACCACATTCTACATACTCCATGGACTTCTTAGAGGTCGGAATAGGTCCTTCACCTAAAATGAGCCATGACAACATCTTGTTTTTTGAAACATACTGCCTAGCGAAATCTTTGGCACTTATTGAAAAGCAAAACTCAGAGCAGTCTTGTATGATGTTGGTCACTACGACCTTGAAGAGATCAAGCAAGGTCCCTGACCTTACATGAGCACGTGACCTTTTGCTTTGGAACAATTATCTAGGTTCTGGTGGCACTTTTGAGAAGATCGTGGAATATCACCTTGTTTGACCTTATCTGACCCAAAGGTCATGACCTAGAACCTCAAAAACTTACCTAATTGAATTCACGTACAAATCAACACACGTTGTAAATTTGGTGTCTCTAGTTGTCCTAGTTGCCGAAATCTCGGCGGGGGTCAAATTGACCGCCCAAACGAGCGAAGGGTTTCCAACCGGCCACCCGGGCGCGTATTAACAATGTCTCGAGTCTACCACACACTCGTGAGAGCTTTATAAAAGAAAGAAATAAAATGCCAATTAGCTCCGCATCAAGCGCATATATTTGCGTGATTTTACGACCTTTCTACTCACTGGGTACCATATTTCTTCTTGTGTTTCGGGTCATGTACAGATGCGTTGTCTTAATGCAATGCTTGCGCTCCTGGCTATAGGATCGCAGTGCCAATGCTTCAGATGGACTGTGGCAGGTTTAATAGCACACGGAATTTTTGACTCAGTTTAGACCAAACAGACCAAGCAATCAAGCGTGCCTTTAGCGGACTCCCGCCGTAATACACGGCGCGACGTCAGCATGGCAGCAGTGGTGCTGTTGTCACCATGCTCACTATAGCATGCCTGTGTCTGCAGATAAGCATAAAGGAGCGGTACCGTGTCGGCTGGCAAGAGACCTGTCACTGTGCCGTTAAATATCTTCGGCACTGCTTCGGCAGCTTCAGCTGGAATTGCAAGAGAACAGCCACCACTTTCAGAGGCAGCTTTGGAGCTGGTAATGGGAGTTTCTGAACGTGTGAAAAATCCGCGCACAAAAAAATACAATATGCTTTGGGGGATCGCACGCACGAAGAACTGTGAGTCAAGACAAAGAGTACAGACACCTCTGATGAGCTCTGAAACATGATATGATGATCCAAAATGATGTATTCATCGCAACATCTGTCTGTGATGACCCTGAAAACGCCTCTTTTAACACCACAAATACAGTTTTTGACACCGCTTTCAGGAGTTCTGTATTTCTTTTCACACATAATGCGACCAGACCGAAACCAGACCAGAACTCTGCGCCCTGGCCAGACCTCTGCGATAGAACGCAAACTTTGCTGTATTTCTTATTGTTATTTTGTGTGGAAAATAAACCATCATGCGGTCACGATGCATCACTCACTTTCATGATGACAAGATGGCGTCATCGTCATCGTCGTCGTTATCGTCGTCGCCATCGTCATCACCATCGTCATCGTCATTGTCATCGTCATCGTCATCGTCATCGTCGTCTTGACCATCATCATTATCACGACCACTACCATTGGCATCACAACCACCACCATCGTCATCATCACCGCCATCGCAATCATAACCAAGCATCAGCACCCATAGGCCTCACCATTGCTGCTACCAACAGTGTTACTACCGCCACCACTACCACCACCATGATGATAAACATCATCATCATGATCACCTTCAGAAGCATATCTCGAGAACCATGTGCGAGCACGTGCAAGCAATCTTTGCTGATGGTGTAAAAGTTCGAAAGGTTAGATAAGGAAGCCACCATCTGTTTACTAAGACAGCAAGTCTGAGCGTCCAGTGATATTCTCCAACACGCGTTCGGGTTGGGGCCGATTTGAACACCCGAAAATATGTTTTTTTCAAGATTATTTCCAAACGGCGTGGGAGGGCAGAATCTAAATTCACAGACCTCAGGCAATGGAATAGCCGAAATTTTGCTTACAAAATTGGATATATATGGTGGGGTCACTGGCAGGTTAAATTTAGCGCATGGTTGTCAGCGTAGGTAATGTTTAGGGTATCGTTCAGCACGATATGACAACGTACGTTTAGATTAAGTCATACAACTTTGATTGTCTGTGACAACTTGGCTATTGAAATTAGGATTAGGATAAATTTTGTACCATAGCTTACCCACAGATTCACATCAAAGTCAAAAACTTACCACGTTATTGCTGGAAAACTTGCCTTGTAAGATAGTTTTTGACGA